TTAATGGATCATTCCAGATGAGCAGGATTTTGAAAAATCTCCTCCCACATACTCGTAACTTTCATTTTGATGCTCAGTGATATTGCTATCAGCCTAGATACAGCTTTTAGTTAGTTATCACAATATTTATTCATACATTTTTTAAAATTAATTAGTATTCCCTCCTCATGATTGCACTAATCATCCTGTCTACCGCCCTTCAATAACGCAACACAATTAAATTGAACGAACTATGCAAACGAATATTTGCGTAATAGGACTTTCACAACGTGTGAGATGATTAACCATGGCCGCCTCTTTTTTCGATGACCGAATATCATTCTGACTGGAGGCATGCAGGTGCTTGCCATAATTTATACCTAATGAAGTGAACTAGTTTTCAATTATGAGGCTGAATCAACCATTATTTGAGGAAAGTGGTAAACAAAATTTGACCTGGCTGAGCCAGCTACGAAATTGTTTTTGAAATGATAGATTATACAACAAAGGAAGGCCCTATAGGTGTAAAATACAAGCATGCATTAGTGTTTTTAAAAGTCGATAAGAAAACAAGAAAATAGACTAAATGAAACTTCGCTCAAGTAAACCTTTTGCTCACGTTTTGGTTTAATTTGATTTGATTTGATTTGTCAAGTATTTTTGTCTTCTTCAGAGGTAATTTATTTCGACAATTCTTCAGTTCAACCGAATCAGCAACTTTAAAATGATTTATTAAATGATTATAAACACATTCAACAACAATGATAAATCATAAATATTCGCTTTATATTAAAGAACATTGAAGAAAAACACATATATAATTATACATGTATATTTTATATGTATATAGGTGTAGGGAATTTGAGACCGCAGGGAATTTTAGACCACCAAGCTTGAACCCATCACTGTCTGTCCGTGTTGATTTCATATATAGAGAGCCATCTATGGCCTTTAACAACACTACTGCATAATATCCAATTCATTTCGAAGACTAAAATGCGTTCTTTCTCCGAAAAAAATGGCAAAATTGACCAAGGTAAGCAATTTTGATCGTAAAATGTCGGTCTGATATAAAAACACAACTATTTTCACTGAATGTTGTGGTGTATGCAGATATTTAGAGGTGACTCTTAAAAAGTAGTTTTAAAATGAAGTTTATGAAGTTTGCCAACCATCACAGAAAACGTATGGCCATTGTGTATTGTGAATGGGTGTTGCAATGCACATTATAAATGGTGTCTGATCAGAAATGTGTGCAGGCAATGGGGGACACCAGGTTCAAGATGGGGATCGTTTGTTGTGAATGTCGAGTATGCCGAGGACAGTCAATGACCCGATGCTGGTTGGTTAATTGTCCATGTACAGACATATTTTGGGCCACATTTAATTTATTTATTTCTGTTCGATTTTCTCTTTCTTTTGCATTTTTACAAAATATATAACAAACAAAATATTGCAAATTGTACACATTTCAAAAGAATATAATGTCGAATAAAGTAACCAATCGAAAACATCAAACAGGAGGGTTGACAAAGTAAGCAAAGCTTGATAGCATGACTATAAATGGATACATAATAATCCGAATATGGTGGAACAAATATTGGTAAAAGGGGAAAGAGAGAGAGAGAGAGAGAAAGAGAGAGAAAAGAAAAAAGAAAGAGGGGTTGCCCAGGATTCACAGATGTATGTGGTATAATGTAGTTGGATTTCAATTTGATATATGAAGATAAAAAAAGAAGATGCACATTTGAATATTGGGTGGCCAACTTGGGATGTATTATAGAATGAGAAGACTCACGAGGTTTCTGGACAATATGAATAAAAATGTGAGATCAGCGAACTGGTTTATATAGGCTTTAAACCTTTGTTTGTATACATCACATGGTTTTGGAGTATCCCAAGTATATAGGCCACATTGTTTTAAAATCGTTTCAAAATTACAGTAAGTTTATTGGCTGCATGTATCTCTTTCAAAAAGTGTTTGAACTAACTATAACAATCCCATTTTCATTCAAATTGTACTTAAAATGTCTTGATTTGTAACTGTCCCTTATTACCTGCACATGTAGGTAATGAGAGACCTTTGGTGATGACGTCATTAATCATTGTTATATTATCACTGTGGAGACGACGGGCTTCTACAGAAGCCGAGATGTATCCTTAATACTTTGACAAAGTTTTCCAGCTTATTATTAGCTATTATGTGCTAAAGTTCTTTGAAGTATTATTTAGATATATTCATTCATCTCATATATTAAAAAAATAAAATAAAGATACGTGGAAAAAACTCGAGAAAAGGTGATATCATTTCAACTGTACCCTAAGTTAGTGTTCGGATCGAAAAAAAAGGCCCTTGAAATACCCGTACAGCTGGGGACGGACGCGTACTCGCGCGTCCGTTCTATATTCTTGCCTTGATTCAAGGCTTTGGATTATTGGTTTTGTTGATGAAGATGATTACATGGCGATTTTCCATCGGTGATTGGATGATTTTCGCTGGGCAATATGAGAGGGCGTTGTTTTCCTCACATTTCCATAGATGTATTGTAGTTATTCATATACTAATATTATTAGGCCTATAGTAGGCTAGACCGAATTTTCCGTCTCTTTCGTTCGTTAGCCTCTTATTGGGGTAGGGTCGGCTCGCTCTTTAGAGACGGAAGCCGTTTATACACATGTCCTTGCTAACGCCACGGCCAGTCCTGGTCGTAGCGTTTTGCCCCCAAAATCCCCCAAAATGTCATTTTACCTCGAGCATGTGATATTGTAAATTAGGCCTAGGCTATAATAAATCAGTTCCACTTACCAACTTGACTGAAATAATCAGTTTAATAGTCCCTTTTTAGGAAATTATGGGTCAAAATCGGAATCCATGTTGAAAAAGATTTTCAAAATGGATTTCGATTTTGACCCATAATTTCCTAAAAAGGGACTATTAAACTGATTATTTCAGTCAAGTTGGTAAGTGGAACTGATTTATTATAGCCTAGGTCTAATTTACAATATAACATGCTCGAGGTAAAATGACATTTTGGGGGATTTTGGGGGCAAAACGCTACGACCAGGACTGGCCGTGGCGTTAGCAAGGACATGTGTATAAACGGCTTCCGTCTCTAAAGAGAGAGCCGACCCTACCCCAATAAGAGGCTAACGAACGAAAGAGACGGAAAATTCGGTCTAATAGTAGGCCTATTCATAAAGACCTAGGACTATTCCTTTTAAATAAAATTTGCGATACGCCGCGTTTCACTTGGCTACAAATAACCGACCTTACTCTCAAGTATAAAAGTATGCATTGATAACATGACTTGGTAACTCTTCTCCCCTATTACCAGAGCCGGAACTCTGACAATACGCTTTTCATTTTATCAACTTGACCAAAATTAGCGAATCAATTGTATGGACCTCCTCTTTTATGAAACGCTTATCTCAGCTGCCTGGACCGGACCCCAGCACCCTAAGAGGAACGAACGAATGTAAAGAAGTAACTTCTCTGGAACTTACCGTTTTGAAAGAAGAATTTTGAAAGAAGAGAATGTAGGCCTAAACTACTCTAAGTAACTACTCTTGAAGATTACCGTTTTGAAAGAAGAGGATGTAGGCCTAAACGTAGGTCAATCTACATGACTATACAAACAACCACTCAACTATACCTTTACGAGGGCATGTAACCAGTTTAGAGCAGGTTTGAGTAAAATATCTTGATCAACCTAAAGCCGGTCTTGGTTTGAGCGGGCATATGAAATGTTCAAATGTTAATGTTCTGAAAAACGATCCCTTACTCTTCCTTTCTCTCCCCACGGAATATCACTCTTGTCTTGAGTAACCCCGGCGGTATATAGCCACGAATATGAGACTTTTCCTTGGCAAAGATGCCATTAATCAGTTACATCATGACCACAATTTTGTTACCAAATAAAGAGAAGAAGTTATTGAAGAGAATACAAAACTTTCTGTATATGTGTAACATTTTTCATGTTTATGTAAATTATGCAAATGTGCTTAAGGGTCTCCAATTCCCTACACCTACCCTAAAATCACAAGTATAAGTAGATAAATATGGCTCTTATACACAGTAAAAGGAAGTACCGCATTACAGGATTACCCATGAAAATTATGTTATTTCCAAAAGGGTCTTAGACCTTTAAATTCTATTTGAATATTGAAATAGAAAAGTAAGACCAAACAACATTGTTCAAAATCTAGAACGTACGAGATATAATAGGATCGAACATATCTAATTGAAATTTTAGAAGTCTAGATCGAGTCAATTAATAATTTTTTGGGGGGACTTGTATCGTTTTGTTAATTTTTTTCTTCTTCAATTTAATTCATAATGGAGGAAGGGTAGCAGATGCAATAAACTTTTAATTAACGCTCCAGTTATGAACACGGAAATTATTGAATTAAGGTTGAAATTCACATACTTCATTCTCATAGCTAGAAAACAAACACTTGTGTTGGGAACGCACATTACTAAGTTACAGTAAAAAATGAGAAGAAGGGTCACTTCATCCCTCCCTTCCTGAATAGAATAAAAAGGCGGAAAGAGTTACGATAGAAATGAGGATTTCAGAAATTGAAAATGAAATTGCTAGCGAAGAATTTTCAGGGCAATAATGTTAAACGGGAATTAAAAACGAATAGGCCTCAGCCGCCTCACTTCACATCATATAATTCCAAAGAAAATGTTCAAAAATTAATGAACAAATAAATGAATTAATTACTGAATGAATTACTGAATGAACGAATAAAATGATGAAATAGATGAGTGTAAGAATGAATAAATGAATAAAAAATGAATAGATAAATGAATATATAAATAGATGAATAAATGAATCGACGGATAAATAAACAAATAAATATAAAAATAGGACAAGGTTCTAGTACAGTATTCATTGTCATTATTCACAGCAAACCGTCGTAGATGGCATCATCACGAAATTGCCAGTGCTATCTATACCGTGTTCTGATTGGTCGATTGTGCCGTGTGTGATTAACGTGCACGGTTTTTAAACGGCTATTTATTATTGTAAGAACAGGATACAGTACCGCATCTTCTTCCTCCAAGTCAACTCAAGTTATATGTTTGGATCCATTTCTGGCACTGTAAGTTTAAAGAATAATTTTATTTTTTAGTTTGCAGTTACTCATAATTGTAAATTAAGAGATGTTAAATACAGACACAGCTGTGAAAATACTTTTTAATCTCGCAGAATCAGCATGTTTCCTACCGCACGCATAGCTCAACCTCGGCCGTGTCCTTCGGCTGAGCTGAGTGCTCGCTCCGTCGGACGACGCGATGGGTTGTCCGGACACTAAACAATAGAAAATGTTTACTGTTGAAACTTGAATTTCATGAAGAAATGTGCATCAAATAGCACTAGCCGTTATAACGTTTTGATGTCCATAATGATTATAGATCTAGATCTAGAGTCTAAGTCTTATTAAATTTACACGATTTACAAGATTTATGATAATATGAACATGATCAGAAACCATCTGATTTGGGTCATGTCATTTCTTTAATAAAACTGACATTTGTTGTCATTCCCCAATACAGATGGCAACCCAGAGATCTCGTACCGTGGGGGTGGCTATAGGCCTGTATGTCACTGATGTGCATATTTTCGTCCACGACATTTTCTCCCCGATTTTCTTTATTTAGATCTAGATCTAGATCTAGACCTCTAGACTAGATCTAGTCTAATTTCCTGATTTCCTGATTTCCTGATTTTTAAATCAGATGTAAATTAGGTCGGTTGGCGCTTACAACAAGGGCCCTTGAATGTCATTTGTCCTAATTACAGTTATCAAAATTTGATAACTCAATATTAAATGGATAAATTACGGACTTACTTATATGAATTATCCAATTTGTATCTCCGAACGTTCATGCACTCGGAACATAGACCTAGGGCTATATGACCCGGCGGCCAAAATATTTCCGGGTCAACCTACCAAAACATAGCCAAATGGCCAATCAGAGCACTCGTTTCGTGGGAGTTCGTTGGTCAAGCTGGGCTTACTCGTACGTAGCTACGGTAGCTATTGGACGTTCGAAAATAAAAAATGAATATTCATCAACTAACACCAAGACGGATAATGTTGACGACGAGACTTTCTCGGATTAATCATTAATTTAGGATCTAAATGAGCAAGCTATCGTAAGTCAAATAAGCTATATATATGTTATTTTTAATTTGTGTTATAATTGCAGCAGTTATGAGGATGTAAAGAGTCCCCAGACTTCAGTCTCTATAATCGGAGGTCTAGTGGAGCCAGACGTAGTCTCAGTTGAACAACCGACGATTAGAGAGACTGAAGCTTTCGGTCTAGATCAGATGATGAACCTTGGCATAGATGCATTGCCAATGCAATTGCAACAATTGAATGTTCATCATGACTATTGAATGACTTGTTTAATCAATCATTCAATCATGACTGATAAACCAGTACTCATGATGACACGTAAACTTTAGCTTACATTTAGCGCATGCGCATCACGTTCATCCGATCTCAGCCTCATTTTCCTAAAATAAATTGGCGCTTACAACAAGGGCCCTTCTTATTGGCTGTCGCTGGCTGCCATTCGCTTGATGTTGTAAGATATAGGTGCGAGGAGAAAGCTTGCGATTTTTCTGTTTGATCCAATACCTAAATCATGATATATTTCAGTCAAACCCTTTGTCTTTTTGTTACGATGTTTTCAGCATCCTTAAAAGGTTAATTATTTTCACTTAAGTTTAACTTTAAGTCTTACGTAACTTTTTTATAAGTTTTAAAAATTCTCATTTTCGTCATATTTTAGGAACAAACTGGAAATTTGTACTGAATGTCTGTTGATATTTCTATTTTATGTGTGTACCAATGCCATGTGTGCGTCAGTTACGTGTGAAGTGCGACACCTGTTTTTTAAAGCATGACATGTCGGTGTATAACGTATTGGCATTGCCATTGAAGTTAAGTTGCGCTTAAGTTAAGTAGGCCCTCTGTCACTTAAATTCAAAGCCACAGTGCGTATTCTAATTAAATGTGCAGTGTTCAATGCATAAAATTCTACATGCATGAATTTGGCACTAATTAACAATTTATCTGCACCAGAAAAAAAAGTCCAAGAACTACAGTAATCCAGGAATACAAACCATCATGCAATTTACGGTCATCTTCACAATTAAATCTCGTGTCTACTTTGGTGTGAACTCTTTCTTATGGTCATCGCTCTTTTCCTTGATGTTGGCTGCAAAAGGGACATGTACTAGTGTAGTGTTAGTAATGAAGCTAAGTAGCGCAGCTAACCCTAAATGATAATCTAACCCTTACCCTATCTATAAGTAGTAACTACCCTAGATGTTGGACGTTCATGGTCATAAAACGTATTTGACCTAAAGTGAGGTCTAAAGGGAGAAGAATAAAGGAAGAGAAAAAGAAAAATCTGATACATAAACAAAAGTACCAAAAAAAGGTAATCCCTTTACCATAATTATTAATTTTTAGGTCAAATTTGGCGAAAGTTGACCCTTAACATCTGATCAATAGATCTTTAAACTATAGATCTAAGTTGAAGAGGTAAAACTTAGACTGAGGCGTATTTTTTTTTTTTTTTTTTTTGTAGGAACTAGAGCCTTATCGTCAAAAATCAACCAGGATCCAATGTATAACTTTGATAATTTTTGTAATGTAATCATTTTAAGGCAGCAGGATTCAAGGATTGTATAGATTTTGCATTGATCGTATTCATAGAGCGACATAAAAAGTTGGCTTGTGCAAGTCAGGAAGTGACTACAATTTCACTTTTAATGCTAGGTGAAATTCATGCCCCAACCAACTAAAAGAACTACATTTCTCATTGAATTCTTTCCTTTCATGTCCAGGCTCACAATGCCGGAGGAACAAGCCAAGGACATCAGTGTGCGGGTCGCCATCCGTTCCCGCCCCCTCATATCCAAGGAGGTTGCTGAGGGATGTCAGCTGTGTGTCTCCTTCACACCTGGTGAGCCTCAGGTCATCCTAGGCAAGAACAAGGCGTTCACGTTTGACTATGCTTTGAGGGCAGAGGACCCACAGGAGATGGTCTACCAGAAGGTGGTGGCACGTCTGGTGGATGGACTTTTTAAAGGTGAATATTAACTTCATTCCAGAAAGTATCATGAAATAATTTCTCCTTTAAAGAAGCCTTTTTTCAAACATATTTTTGATACATAATTTGTATTTTGTAACTTTCTTGCATCAGCTATCACATTTTTCCATCAAAACTATTATGGAGCTTTCCAGAGATAAATTGCACTTTCGGCTAGACATTTTACTGGAATAAAATGATGAGGTCACAACTCACAAGTACAGTGCAAACTACTTTCCTCGTAAATAGGAGCTCCTTTTTGATAAACTAAATTATAGGAAGGTGCTTTCAGTATTTTATTGATGGCATATTTAAGTAATGTTTTCATTGGAGTTATTTCTTATGAATTTTGCAGTGCTCTTCCAGATTGTCATCACCCACTATTTCACTATTTTCCCACTGGTACAACTAGCAGTTGGGCAGGTTTGCACTAGACCAAATATCTTCAATTGAAAACAGACAGACAGGCAGTCACATTTCTATCAGTTATAATGCAGAATGTTTCTAACATCATGCTAAATAGCTTCAATATTTTGCTCCTCTTTCCCCTTTTACTGCCAAGGTTACAATGCAACGGTCTTGGCGTATGGCCAGACTGGATCGGGAAAGACCTATGCCATGGGTAATGCGTACAATATGACTGACGAGCTAAAGATGGGGGTCATTCCTAGGGTCATCCAGAATATCTTCCAATTGATTGAGGAGAAGCAGGACATGGAGATCGTCCTGAAGGTCTCTTACCTAGAGGTCAGTCAATTTAAAGTATTTCACTCACCTGCTTACATTACCACCTTGCAAATTTAATATACAGATAAATATGGAGGCCTGTGATACTTGGTGTGCACCAGTATACATGTAGCTGAGGAAGTGGCGAAAGATTTTGTTGATCTAAGTTGTTTAATCTGCTTTTTTCTTCTTCATGTATTAATATTATCATGATAGACCAAAATATGTTGATACCCCTCTTAGGGCCTTCCATAATTTCTTGATGAATGGTAAAGAATTTGGTGTAGAGAGAAAACAGTAAAAAGAGACAGAAAAGAGTGAGAGAGAGAGAAAGAGATAGATAGAGAGAAAGAGAGAAATTGAGGGGGGAGGGGGCAGAGAGAGGGAGTGTGCTTTAGATTTCAGTTTGCTCCAATACTCACCAAAATATTTGTTTGATGTGTATTGCAGATTTACAATGAGGACATTCATGACCTACTCTCAAAGGACAAGAAGGAGACACTTGCTATCAGAGAAGATATAGATGGTGGAATCAGAGTAAGTATCTGCAGTGTAAGCAAAATCATACCTCCATTTTGAAATGTAAGCAGTTTCAGCTGTATCTTCTTGTAAACTAAAGCTTTTATAAGTCTTTTTATGAGTTTTAAATGCTGCGCGGTTGAAAGTAAGTTGCACTCAAACAAATTATTTTCCATTAAAAAACGTCTTGTACACACATGTACATGCTGGTGATAACCAAATCTTTTTATTAACAGATATATCCTGTACATTCACACCTACTTTGCAATGATCGCATTATTTTTAGGTAGCAAGTACTAGAAACAGATTAAATTTAGTCACATTGCTGCCAACCATCCCTTTTTTGAAGAATGATTCCTTTTTGTTTGTTTTGGTCTTAAAACTTATATTATGATTCCTATATATTTTTATGTTTATCTGAAAACTTCTTTGTAAAACATAAAAACACATTGTATTCCTAATTCCCCCTGATGAGATTCCAAAGTGTGTCTTTTAAAATCTGTAGGCCTCCTCCAGATAATACACCTAGGCATCATTTCACAAACCGTACAAGTACAAGTTTGCTGTCATCCATTGAAATGCATGTTAATATCATGAAACGTTGCCTAGTTACAAGTTGATTTTGAGCCTAGTATGCAGTTCATTGAATGTATCTCATTTTTTGTGTGAACTAGGTGGCTGGACTAAGTGAGGTGACAGTGACCAGTGCGGGTGACATGTTTAGATGTCTAGAGAATGGCTCAGTAGGCAGGACCACAGGGTCGACGGCCATGAACCTCCAGTCCAGCAGATCACATGCTATCTTCACCATCTATGTACAGCTCAAGAAGAAAGATTCAAGGTGAGTGAACTTTTGAATGCGCTTTGCTACAAAGATATATTCTTGCCCCTCCCCCCTTTGCCATCAGGCAATAGTGCTTACGTAAGAGGAGGAAGAGGGGTGATAGCTTACTGGTATAGCAGTGGTCTCATGAGCGGGAGTTCTCAGGTTTTTAAACCAATTTGATGAGGCAGTACTATTTGATAATCCATCAATTCTCAAGGCTCCATCACCAAATCCCTCAGATAGAACATAAAGTGGGAAGTCCTCCAGTTGCTTATCATATATGCAATCTCATTCAGGTGAAATAAATAATTAATCCTCAGTCGATCAGTTGGCATTTCTTTCTTTGCCTGCCCATATAGATTTAATGAATTGATCTTCAATTTCTATGCACACGAGGGCAAGTGCAATGATTCAGTTTGAGCATTACTGCATTGCACCAAAATACAGAAAAGTGAAGGAAGCCTCTGGGACCCGTTTCACAAAGCCTTTTTTCAATGACAAATGACAAAAATCAATGACAACTCTGCTGATAACCAATCAGAAGCAAGGATTTCAGAAGCTTACAACAAAAACTGTCATTTGTCACTAATGACAAGTTCTGTGAAACACCCCCCTGTTCTTTATTCATACATATCTATTTCATTCTTTGACTTTCCAGCGAGTCCTTCTGTCATGCCAAATTCCATTTGGTGGATCTTGCCGGTTCGGAGAGAGCGAAGCGCACCCAAGCACAGGGAGATCGATTCAGAGAAGGTGAGCTACGTCAAATGCCATGTTCTGGGGGAACTTGCATAGAGAGATTATTCATTAGATATGTGTGTTTGTCTCTGTAAGGGCCCGATATGAAGTGCTGTGAATGCATCTCTACCTTTTACGACCAAACTGGTAGTTACAATGTGTAAACTGCTGCAGATCATAACATGTAAAACTAGGTCTCAGCTGTGAGATTTTAACTATTATAGACTGCACCCCATATGCCTGACAACAGTATTTGTAAGAGGTATTGGGCTTATACATGTAAACAAAAATGTAGTCTGAATTGTATGACAATGTACTGTAACCCATAGGCCTGACACAGCCATTGATAAGCTGAGGTGGGCTAGCTAATAAAACAAAAAAATACATACAAATCACATTTATTAGCAAAATTAAAAAACCCGCTAATATAAATAAGTTGGTAACACTACTTCTTCTTATTTGGCAGGTGTAAATATCAACCGTGGTCTGCTAGCTCTTGGCAATGTCATCAGTGCGCTGGGAGATGAGAATGGACGCAAGTCACATATACCGTACAGAGACTCCAAGCTGACTAGACTTCTACAAGGTAAAGTGATCCAATCCAATCCAAAAGATATTTGATATAGCGCCTTTTCCTTGCAGTTACAAAGTGCTGCACACACGCTCCACAATGTTTGATATTAGATTGATCCAAGAGGTGGGCAGAATGACCAACCCCTGTGCCCTGAACACAGAGATTTAACCAAAAAACATTTTTAGGGCTAAAAATGTATATTTTCCTGAAAACCATCAGACCTAATTCCTCTCCAAATTTAGGAATTTCAGAAATCCTGTGGGATAATTAGTCTCTGCCATCTGAAAATGGTACTGGAGGAATTGTTATGTTTTCTGTATGTCCATCCATCTCTCCTGCTTTAATCTTTGAGGTATGAACTTAAAAGTTGGTGCTAGTTTGTATCGCATATATGGATTTTGTGACTACATTGACAGGACATTTTCAGCCCATGTACTGTTTATATTTGTAAAAGTGATATCTTACTACTTAAGCAATCAAACAAAATTTAGATGACAAAAAATGTGCGTTTGCGCACTTCCGCCATGCACAGTGATTTATTGAAAATGATTTGTATTTTTGCATGCAGATTCTTTAGGAGGCAACAGCCAGACCGTGATGATCGCTTGCATCAGCCCTGCAGACTCCAACATGGAAGAGACCCTGAACACACTGCGCTATGCGGACAGGGCCAGGCGTATCAAGAACAAACCCATCGTCAACAGAGACCCACAGGCAGCAGAGCTGAATAAACTTAAGCAGCAGGTAAACTATGGGTCCTGTAGTGACGTGTTGCCCGGTGTGCTGTTAAAGGGGGGGGGGGGGGGGTTGACATTGATATTTATGCTTGACATGGGGGAATCTATGTAGCATCTCACTTTTTTTTTACCTTTAAAAAAAACGCTCATTTATCAATTTATTCATTCATTATCTTGTTTGTTCATTTCAATTCATTATTTATCTTTTCCTGGGGGGGGGGGGGTCTATTCAATCTATCTATATTCAAATCCAATATATTTAATATTATTTTGTGTATCAAATTTGTTTTCAAGGTTCAACAACTTCAGATCCAGCTCCTTCAAGGCAAAATTCTCAACGGAGAGGGTGATTCCGCAGCTGTGATGTAAATATTCATAGTTTTCAGAGACAACTAGATTTCTTTTTATTTTAATATAAAGTTTTATCCTGTGTTGTGAACTTGTGATAGTCTATATGATTGCAGTCTTTGCATAAATGTATTCATGTGAGATGTGACTTTGAAAAAGTTTTGTCCTTCATCCTTGAGTTATGAAATATTATGTATGTTCTGTAAATAATATACTTGATAGAAAACGTTCTAAATTGCAAGCAAGCACAAGTTGAACACCCTGCGTGGCATCAGGTGTGGTTTACTGAAAAAAATATCTTTTAATTAATAAAACAATTTTACTTGGCATAACAAATCTAACTTAGGACAATTCATTGGGTAATGTCTGTACAAAGCTGGTTGCATTCGGATAAAGTTAAAAGAAACATATGTGCAAGCACCAATGGTAAGAGTTAGTTCCGCTCAATTTCAGTTTGTTATGACAGTTGAAATTGTTTCCCCTAGTGTAAAAGATAAAATATTTTTCAGAATACGGCCCCTGGTAAATAAGCTTAGATATATGTAATAAAATTTGCTTTGTAGTTATAATACCACACATTCACAATTTTGGAGGTCAAATTAGATTCTGAAAGAAATTTTTCATGATAATTGCACTGGTACCTTGATCACCTTGATCTTTATCTGCCTTTTGATCTCTTTTCATATGTTCACCAAATTTGTTTTTGTCCTCTGTATTTTAGTATGGAAGGAGGACAAGATCTGAAGACCTTATTGGAGAGAAACAAGTCCCTTGAGGTGAGCAATCCATTCGTCTGATTTTCTGACATCCACGCATGCACGGTCACAAAGGTTCGTACGAATGATAATTTCGTACGAATCTCCCCGTTTTTCCATTGTCTTCCCGAATTTCCATTGTCTGAAAATCGTTCGTATGGCGTTCGTATGGCGTTCGTAGCAGTTCGTAATGGCTTTGTGACCGAGGCTTTACACTCCGATGATGATGATGATGTGTGACATTCACATCAGGGCCCCATTTCACAAAACTTGTCATCAGTGACTTATGACAGTTTTTGTTATAAGCTACTGAAATCCTTGCTTCTGATTGGTTATCAGCAGATTTGTCACTGAGTTTATTCATTTGTTGTTGAAAAAATGCTTTGTGAAACGGTCCCTGGATTATGTTTAACAATAGCAAGCTTGGTGATATGTACATTACTGGAATGAAGAAATGTACATTTGATACTGGAATGAAGAAATGAACATTACTGGAATGAAGAAATGTACATCACTGGAATGAAGAAATGTACTTTATTGGAATGAAGAAATGTACAAGTAATCTTCCAAATAGTTATCTCTTGGCTGAAATCTGTAAACAAGGAGGAATGTAATGTACATTGGAGATGCTCCAGTTCAAAAGTTCACTTCAAATCCAAGTTGAAATGATTATAGATGATTTTTATGCCTCCACAGCGAAGTAGCTGGAGGCATTATGTTTTTGGGTTGTCCGTACGTCCCGTTCTAGTGATCACGTTTTAACAGATTGATGGATTCCCGCTAAACTTGGGTCATGTATGTATCTTGTAGAGTCAATGATCTGATTAAATTTTAGGGTCATAGGGTCAAACGTCATGGGACTCATTGCAAAAATAGCTTGTGAACACATCATTAAAACTGATATAATATGGAGTACTATGAAACTCAGGACATGTATGTATCTTGCTGCAGAGCCATGTATATGAAAAATAGCTTGTAATCATAATATTCTGAGAACCTGTAAATGGACTACAGCTTAGATTGCAATCAAACTTGAATTTTAAAAATTGCTTCTGTTTTGGTTTGTAAAATGGCTCTATGCCGGAGGCATCATTTTCGACTGCCCGCAGTCGGAGATCCATCTAGTTCCTTCACTTTTCTTTTTGCAAAGACCTACAACATTTAGATCCAGACATTGTATATTAAAATTTAGGGTAGAGGTGAAATGATTTCTTCAGTGGATTATAGTACAAAGATTTAACTTGATTACTGTTCCAAGAATACCTCAAGAGTAATTGTTACTTGAATTGAAAGAATATTTAAGCAAAAAGTTGTTTATGTTTTTATTTCTCCTTTCACCAATATTTCATAATAGGCTGAAAACACAAAGCTTTCCAATGAATTGCAGGCATCTATTGACCAAACCACTCAGATGTATGAAAAGGTCATCCTAGTAAGTACATTAGTATTATTTTTATTTTTATTTGAAGAAAACAAATCTAAAAGATGATATAGAAGAGAGAGAGAGCGAGAGATCCAGTGACAATAAGACCTATAAATCTTCTATAAATTGTTTAAAAAATAAAGAAGAGAGAGAGAGAGAGAGAGAGAGAATGGGGTGGGGGGGGGGGGGGGTGGATAGGGAGGAAGCATAGAGTACTGGTAGATCATATTTGAGTGTTATCTGGGATTATATAAATAAGTGGTTTTTCATACTTAAGTGATAACAAAATAAATTTCAATACTCCCTTGTTCTACCTCTCAGGCTGAGATGACCAAAGAAAAGCTCAAACAAAAACTCGTGGAGCTCAGAGCGAGCGCCAACATGAGCATCGGAGTTCTCGACATGACCATCGCCGAGGGAGGTGCTGAGCATGACATGTCAAAGGTCAAAGAGCAGCTAGGGGTCATGAAAGACCTTCAACAGAAGATAGCAGATTTAGAGAATCAGCAGGAGGAGGATGAGAAGGCTGAAGCGCTGTATGGGGATGATGAGTCGAGACCCACAGTGAGTATCGATTCCTATGCATGTATTTAACTCCTTATTACACTTGATATCGGTTTATCTGAATGCTCACCAATGTTAGTTTTCAGTCTTTGCCTGATTTTAAGTCCTATCAACTCTCTGTTCAGGCTTTTTTGGGCTCTGTGTATAGGCCTTACAGGGCTCCATCTTGTCCCGGCTTGTTTTCAATGTAGATAGTATCCCTGTTTTGGTAGCAGCGCTCAATTTGAAGATCTTTCATGTGATCAAAATGTACTTTGTATTTTCAGTATTAGAAGAAGAAAAAAAGCTTGTACAGATTCACATTAAAAAGAGGATTGTCTTTTTAAGTTTTAGGAAAAATTCGGTCTAAATGAATATTGTGCTATATATGTTCATTTGCCATTGCAAAAGGAAATAAAAACTGATGTGTGTGAAAAGACTTGCCAGTAATATCTAGTTTTGAGGGAAATATTTGAATTTGCTATTTTTTCTATTTTTTGTTCATGTTCTGCTTTTTGTTTTTAGTGTTGTTTTGGTTTTGAGGATGCTTTGTAATTGTGTTCTATATTTCATTTTATTGTTGTTGTTGTAGATGCCCATTCAAAATTTAAACTGATTTTTGAACACTAACTTCATATTAACATGCTTTGTCCACAGACTGCTGCTACATCATCCGATGAGTCCGAATTCACTGGACCTTCCCCGCGGCCCGAAGGCGAGGCTTCCTCCTCACCCGACATCACCAAGACCCATGCCCTTCGCCAGGCAGCCCTTAGCAGGGAGCTTCATGAGCTGAACCATGCCCTGGCTAGGAAACAGGAGCTTGCCCAGACCATGGGGCAGAGTGATGAGAAGATGCAAGTCATGAGGATACAATATGAGGTCAGTCAGAGCGAGTTAGTTTCATGAAAGTTGATCTATTGACTAATTTTTGTTTTACATTGATGCTGCATTTGGAGTAGATTATTTCATGAAGAGATTCATGTAATGTTTAGCAGGTGTAGTGAGCAATTTAACTTTTGAAAACTTGACAATAGGTTTAGAAAATACAATAAATTTCAATTTTAAAGGTTGTTAATGTTGTTTACTACAGTAAATTTAGAAAGAATCTCTAGTTATACACTGAGCAGGAGCCATTTGTTTTAAACAATAATAGACCCTGTATTCACAAAAATTAACATGTTTTGCCATCTTCATCTCGTAACTCTATTCGAATTGAATATGAAGTGAAATTGCAGTAACATTAATATGTGGCAGGATTTCTGCTTAAGCTAGGGAGAATTAAGTCTGAAATTCACATTTCACAATAGATACTCTATCGGAAGACCAACTGTTTTTCAACAATTACTTTTATGATGACCCTAACTATTTCCAAAATTTCTAACATGTCCAATAAGGCTTTTAAAAAAACTTGTTGTATTGCCCTTTGCGACTGATCCAAAAATCTTAAAATCTGCTTTTTATTAAAGGTGTTTTTTAAACAGTTTTTTTAGAGAAAATAATGTTTGATGAATGATTAAAGCATTAAAAACTGGAAAATATCAGCCCAAAGAGGGGAAACAAAATTTTAAAAATCAAATCAAATAAAAAAATCGACCGACCAACCCAGGTGCTAGCACCTAAAGGGCAATACAAAATCTTTTTTTAAAGGCCTAATGTAAAACCAAATGCCACTTTATGTTGAATCAATGCAGACGACGATGAAGCAGCTGGAAGACCAGGTGAATACACTGTCAAAGGAGAAGGAGACCCTGAGCCATGAACTCTTTGCATCCAAGACAAATGCAAACTCTAACAAGTAAGACATGATAGGTCACATGTACTTGTAGATTGAAATATTAAAGGGAGCTAGTGTAGCATGACGAGACTACGTGTCTTTCCTATGGCCTGACTCGGGGCCAAAACGACTACGGACGACGCGACCGGATCAATCACGTGCGTGCAACATACGCAAAACCGAATCGTAAGGACCTTCAGTCTGTTTCGCGAACGCTAGCGCGAGCTGACCATGTAGAGATTAAAGATAAACTTTAGTACTGGTAATGCGATTGCATTGTGAAAGAAAAGGTGTGGAAAGGATCAGAAACAGTTGATCATGTAGCATGTAAGTATTTCTGTGCACTGCAAGGTTCTGGAGTCATCAAAATCATAATAAATTTGACCGAGTCTTGGTAAAGTAACAAGCACTCACATAGAAAGCTATATATGGGACAACACACATGATGTCGGGGTTAGTACTACCTTGATTTCCTTGTCTTTCTATGCTCATTACTCAGCCAGTATACATTTTCCTCCAAAATTGTTCCGCACATGTCATTTATTTGTAATCTTGAACATTCAGTGTAAGTTTCGTTTGATTCTGTGAGAATTTTTTTTTTTTTTTTTACCAGTACTGGAGTTTATCTTTAAGTCGCTGACTACCGTTAATCAAGTTTTAATCTGCATACAGTTTTATTATAATGTGTTGATTCTTGATCAAAGGTAGAAAATGAGGAAAATTTGAAAGATGAATGTGTGATATTTATATGCTATACATAGATTTGAACAATTTTTCCTGTAGTTCATTGAATAGAACCATTGTCTGATTATTTTGTTCTCTTTAAATCCTCTATTTCTTTAATAGCTTGGTGTAAAATTTAACCCTATGGTTTTCAGATCTCTCACAAGGAATCTTTCTGAGATATCCAAAGTAAGGCAGCATCACTCAGTTTATGCAGGGATGATCCTTGGGTAAACTAGCAGTTAATTTAGTGGGTGTCCTCTTTAATTACTCTCCCTTGAATTGACTGAAAGACGAGTTCCCATTGAGAGATCACATGCTTGTTTACTTTCCTAGCATGTATGTAAAATGAATAATAATTTATGCTGTTTGTTTTATAGCTTGAGTAGATGATGAGTTGATGCTGTTAACTCTGTTGTAGAGAGTGAGGATTGATCAATTTGTGCTGATTTTTTTTAAAGGCTGAATCTAGAGAATGATAAATTGAGTGCAGGGAAAAATACATGGGGGCTGAGCGGCTCAGGGCGAATGCCAAAAAGAGCCCCCCCAAAATTTGCATAGAGTTCAATGCAAAACAAATTAAAGAGTGTTGTTTTAATGCAAGCACGCTTGTGAAGTAGCCCCCGAAATTGTGATTGGCGCTGTTTAAAACTGTATGATATAAGGTATATAATATGTATTTGTGTAGGTTGAGTGAGCAGCGTCGTAAGAGACTGCAGGAGTTGGAGGCACAGCTTGGTGAGTTGAAGAAGAAGATCAACTCACAAGCCAAGCTCGTCAAACTCAAAGAGAAGAGCGATCTAACCGTCGGCAAACTCAACAATGAGATCGGGGTATGAACAAATTATTACTATGCTTATTACCTGTCTCTAGCTAAATATATATATATATATATATATGTCAGTCAAATTTTTATGATCTTTTCTTTGGACCAAACACTGGTACCAAATCATAACCATGAACCTAACATAAAACCAAATCACAGCCACTACCTTAATCCCAAATAAAAACTGATAAAGATTTGATCAAATATTGGAGCATCTGTGAGATCATCAACTGAATGCTTTCTTACTAATTCTTTGTGCAGTCAATGAAACAAGCCAGGGTGAGACTGATGAAACAGATGAAAGAAGACACCGGCAGATTCCAGCAATGGAAACGGACCAAGGATAAAGAAGTACTACAGCTCAAAGCAAAAGTAGGTCTATGCACACTGTAATATATGATATGATCTATAGTCCACTGTACCTTCTTATGTAACTTTTGCATATGATCTCAACATTATCTTGACAATCTAGGTTCCAGTGTAATCAATTTGATAAAGTATGTGATGGAGAATATTTCAGAGATGCATGATATCAAGCAAGGTATACATACAGATAACACCCTAACCAAGTTTTGTAATTGTTTAAGTATGTGAAAAATTGATTTGTCCTGTTTTGCATTTCCTAAAAATGTGACATATAAAAGCTTAAATCTACAGATATTCAACAAAGTACTTAATTCTATTGGTCCAACTTTCATCCTTGAGTTACGAAAAACATTTAATTCACAAGGGGTATGAATAATTTAGTTGTTATGGTAATTGTATATTATTTATACCAATTTCACCTACATTCACAAAATATATTGGGGTTGTACAGCTCTGTGTTTAATACATGTGTCAATAAAATGTAAAGAAAGAATTAAATTTATGTTTATTTATTCTCTTATTCCTGTGTAGGACCGCAAGCGCCAGTTTGAGTATACAAGGTTGGAACGTCAGAACCAGAAGACCCAGAATGTACTCCGGAGAAAAATGGAGGAGGTAGGTGACATATCTTTACTTTATTAGTATGTTTTATTTCTTCTTTTTGGGGTCTAATCACATTTGATTAACATCGTGAGGCCACATAATCTGTTTGTCCAGTACTTAATGTTTGCAATATCCGCTCAAGTTAAGAAAACATACATTGGTGAGCACCAGAGCATCCTCCAACAGGAGTCCCACCATTGGAATTCAGTCTGGGTTATTCTAAGAGATCACTGCTCAAAACGAGAGTACGCTCCAGAGCCATCTAGACTCGAGTTTTGCCAAATTTGTTTCACTTGGTCACAATATGGTGTAAATTCTTTTGTTCTGTGCATGCCCAAGGTAGCAAAGCATTATTGGCCATATTGTGCCCAACTTATACCGAACTGGCAAAACTCTCCTAATCAATGGCTCCGTTCGGCACCTACTGGGATAAGCTCCTGGGCAACACTTGTGACTTTAATACATGTAAACAGAATGTGCTAAACGTACTGAAAAAGAATTCACAAAGACTGTTATAAAAATCCCATTTCAGTGAATTGTATATTGTCTTTGTTTCTTTGGAATGCAGGCATCAGCTGCTAATAGACGCTTGAAAGATGCTCTTGAGAAGAAGAGTAATGCAAGGAATGGCAAGACGAATGATACAAATAGACTGGAAGGCATGGGCAAGAGGATTAAGGTAAGATTGAAAATTATTCATCAAATGGTATCCACTAAAACAAATGCACCTTGGTATATAGATGTATATTAATTTAACCAAAAAAAGGGAAAACAAGCTGTTACTACTTACTAGTATTACTTTAAACAGAATTTGCTACCCAAAACACTGAAAAAAAAGAAAGAAAAGGAAGAATTGTCAACAGTTTGAGAGTTTGTTTCATAGGTTGTTGCTTTGGCTAAAAATCACTACTGCACCAATAAAAGTGAAACTCATAAATCATTAAAGATGAAGTTGAGTTCTGGTCATGCGATTGCATTGTGAAAGAAACGGTGTGGAACCGACCAGTAAAGGTTGATCATCTAGCATATAAGAATTTGTGTGTATTGCAAGGTTCTGGAATCATCAAAATGATAAGAAATTTGGCCAAGTCTTGGTAAAGTTACAAACACTTGCACAGAAAGATGTATATGGGACTACACGAACACGTGGCGTAAAAAGCCGGCCCCCGATTTTTACGATGTTACATGCATATTTAGAATATGAAGGCATTTGAAGAGCCATGCTTTTCAGGGAACATGTCTTAACTGATGTTCTTCCACACTTGCATAATAAGAATGAGTAATGCTCACAAATTATTTTTCACCTCTTCCCAGAACTCAACCTTCTCTTTAAGAAGGGAAGAACTTATTTACGTTGATAAATGATTCAATTCACAGTGTTCCTTTTCTCCTTCCTCACATATCGTCCAACCTACAGTTTTCCTTTGCTAAACCTCACCACTCGCACTGCCAGAAATATACCATTGTCGTGTGAGGTTATCCCAGATAGCTTAGTCATGAGGTGCCGTAGTCGAGTGGCACTTGACTAGAAATGCATAGGTTATAGGTTCAATCCCTGACACAGCACTGATGTCCTTTGGCAAGGCGTTAATCTAGATTTGCCACTCCATACCCAGGAGAGAAATGGGGACCTGTTAGGATGACAAAAGTCTTTGTGTTAGTAATTTCCATATGCCCTCACAGTGACCATATGGTAGAAATACTCCCCAGGTAGTGGAGATGGTGCACATTGTGCAGGAATGAATCCGATGCTCGGGGTAATGATATCTGTAGAGTGCTCAGGGAAAGATTTTTGTATTACATACTTTATAAATCCAGATTATTGTTATTATTATTACATGTGTTATTGAATTTGTATTTATCCTGACGATTTTACTGTATTTGATGTTTCTATCTTCCGCATTGTAGTCATGGATTGACCATGAGCTTGAGGTACGTGTGAGTGTGAACGAAGCCAAGAGGCATCTAGCCTCGCTCCTCAACGACCGAAAGACCCTGTCCAAGGAGATCGGCCGACTGGAGAGATCGCAATCAACACCACAGGGTGACAGTCAGGTAATACCATATTTTAGATTATTGTGCTTCATTTCCTTTTATACCGGTAGTTATTGTGATATTTGAATTCAAATTCAAACATGGAAGAAATTATCCTTCACTCCTGTTTGTCTCTTAAGCCCCTTCCACAACCAATGTAAACTGCCTACCGTATATAAAATGTTGCAGAAAATACCCCAGAAATATTTAAATGCAAAGCAAAAAAGGATTAAAAAAAAGAAAATTGCCTTACAATGGCCCATATGCTGACTCTGATCTGTCTGTGGCTATATATGCATACACTAAATGGACATGATTTTAGCTGCTGCTCCAGTTGTGTTTGAAGCAGTATTGCATTGTGTCTAAATGAAGCTTTTGGTTTTAAATCAATTCACATTGAAGCAATACCATTTGTTTACCCTGAAAAGTTCTGATATAATCAATCGAGGCAGCATTTAACAATCAAGAAAATTAATAGAATAAGCAACTGCAGTCCAAAATGAGTAACCTTTGAAGTTGCTCATGCGTGTGTATATAGAGGGCAGCACGTGGACGTACGCACAGGAGCGTAATACTTGTTGGGTCAGTATTATGTAGTGATCCCCAAGTGGCCTACTTTACGAACAACTATATACCAATGCATGAACATCTTTAATATCTCTTGTCCTTTTATTCTGTAGGAACCAAGTGGAAAGCCATTGTTGAGTAGATTGAATGAGCTGAGATCAGAGATTGAACTACGTAACGCCCAGATCTCCGATCTCCAGCAGAAAATAATGGACGCTGACAATGGTGAGTTCCTAGTTTCTGGCTCTGCTCTTATACATCTTATACATTGTAAAATGTAGTTAGCATAAGTGTGGTAATAAGCACATCATAGGCAAATCACCTAGATGTCACAATGCATTTCACTGTCTTTTTTAATGCTGTACTCAAATGCTGCAATCCCCACTCTCAAGGGGAAAGTGTAATTGTAACTTTATATTTACTCTGAAGGGCCTAAATTGTATGCCTGTATAAGTGGAAACGTTCAACAGTTCAAGGCCTGTCATAATTGTAAGGGAAATACAATTTTTATGTTCGAGATGTAGGGAAACAGTGTTTATATTATATATATACAGAGAAACCACAAGAGATTTAAAGAAAATTATAGCCATAGCCTGTTCTAGTTGGGTCTTCCTACTTAAAAATGCGTTCCTACATTCTTATTTTCTCTTATTTACATTTATTCATCCGTTCCTGATTACCTTCTCACTATTCTGCAGATGAGAAGTCACAGACGAATAGATGGCATAACATCACCAGTATGCCTGAAGCTAAGTGCAGCATAGACAGACTCATGGAGGCAGTAAGTCAATCTCTTTGCATCTTCACACATTCTATTCAATATCTCTTTTGACTATGAAGAAATTTCCATCCTCAGCGTTTAGAATATCCAAACCTTAATTGTTTTAGAGGGATTGGTATTCATTTTCATTTGCAGCTAATTTTGCCCAGGGGCAAAGTTAACATTGTGTGGTGATTAGATTTCTAGAGCTAATGTACTTGCTAGATACCAGTCGCACTAGATTGCATGTTTTGTAGACCTTTTTCATCTCAAAATCTTCATTATAACCTTTTATAATTTACTATTTTACACATTTGTGTTATACTTTCTTGAAAATTTGAGGTCGAAACCCCACATACTTGTGTTCACTTCAGGCATCATGGCTTTTAAGTTAGCCTCTGGGCCAAGTTCACCAGCTTTCAAATACTGTGATGTCTTAGTTGTCATGTTTGCAACTTATAACTGTTTATCTGGATGAATGTACAAAATACAAATATTTTTATATTGAATGAATGAATAGATGGATGAATGGATGGATGAATGAATGAATTGATTAATTCATAAATGAGTAAGTGTGTGAATAATTGAGTAAGGAATAAAGGAATGGTTGATGATTTGATGAATCAGGCATTGGTTTAGTGAGTGAAAGAATACCGGTAATGAAGGAAAGTCAATTGAACTCCTTTCTAATTTGCACATAGGCTACCTTGTCACGGGTAGAGATGGGCATCCTACAGAGCAAGCTCTCTGATCATCAGTCATCCCTTGACGATGCGCATAAAGACAAGGAAGAGATGGAGACGGAGATGGACCAGGTGAAGATGGCATACGAGAGAGAAAGGACGGAAATACAAAGAGCTCATGAAGACAAGGTGAGAATGAGATCCCCTTTTATCGTTACCTACCGCAGTTTTCTTTTTTAGGGTATAGTTTTAACTTTGAGAAGAGTTGTTGATGTTATTTTTATATTTTCGGCATAGAGAGTGGAATTTGAGAACATTGATAATGACTTGCGGTTAAAATCAATTTGTGACTTCTTTCATTTTAGGGATAATCTTTTAGAGTTTGTCATACTTTTTAGTCTTCCTATAACTGCTAGTTTTCCATTTGCTACTATTTTGTAAATTTTAGTGTTATTGTTGGAGCATACTCTTAGCTGTGCTCTTGGGGTCATGTCCCCTTTGTAAGCTGTACTTCTTGTTCATGTTTTCTTGTACATATATTATACATCAATTGATTCAGGATGTAAACATTACCTATATGTTCCGTTTATTCTGATTCTTCCTTATGAATAGATTCTGTATCTACTGACTCAGCTCTCATCAGCTTCTGACAAAGTGGACGAATCTGAACAGAAGATGAATGGAGAGGAGAGCATGCTCAAACAAAGACTTCATTTCCAGGTCAGAATCTATTACAAAGTTTATATTGATGTCAAAGTCCATCTCTCGTGAGTTTCAATATGTAATGAGTCGCAGTTTGATCAAACAAGACTTGATGGAATACCCTCAATGTGCCTGTCAATTTTGCAGGCTGCAAAACCACTCAAGCCTCCCTCGAGAAACAAGGGCCCGTTACATAAAATTTATCTTTGATGGTAACTTTGCCATCAATGGCAACTACCATGGTAACAGGGCTCAACAGCCAATCAAAATCAAGGTTTCCATGCTAGTTACCATTGATGGTATAACTACCATCAATGGTAAGTTTTGTGCAACGGGCCGAACCCGTTTGAAATTGCTTTATATAGTATATCCTAAAGACTTCTTCACATTTGGAGATACAGAATGTCCTTATTATTAATGTTTTTGTTTTTCTCTGTGATTGTAGGAGGAGCAGATTGAGGAGTTGAAGTCCATACATGAACAGCTTCAAGAGACAATACTAGAGAATGATGAGCTCAAGAAGGTAAGCATACCTTAAAGCAGGACTGCACTACTTGTAGCTACTTGCGCCCTCTATATAGCAAACATTGCCTGAGCGGTACCCGTTGGTCCCCCATGATCCCCTTTTTCTTATGTTAATTGAGAGCTGATTTGATGAGATAACCACCTGTCAGTGACCAAGCAGGGAGGTCTAATCCCTCCTGGCCAAACTAGTGCAGACAGGCATTAAAGGAAAGGAAAACAGTGTTCTGGTTTTGGATTAGTAAACATAACATTATGATACTTGTTTCTATGCACTTCCAAAGTGCTTTTGAAATCCGTGCAGTATTGGTCCATCACTGAGGGGGCTCTGATCTCATGGGGGAGGGTTGGACATTTTGACGCCGATGAGATGTGAGGGAAAAAAGGCCATCAAGTGAGGAGAGGGTGAGGAGGGGGCTCAATCATCTTAAATCATATTTGTGTTACCTTTCTCTTCTTTTTTTATCTTTGTTTCTTCCCCCTCCCCCTTTTTTATCACACCATTTGATTAGGTAGAGCCTGGAGGGCAAATACGGGTAAAATGTTTAGAGAGGTAATCCATTATAAGCAGACGACCTTCCATTTAATTTTGTTTTAATTGTTTCCATAGAAACTGACTGTAGCGACGTACAAGGGAAAGAAGTCTGCACTTATGCCTGTTCTCACATCCCCAGAGGCCTCACCCATCCCTCAGATGAAACCTAAGAAGAAGGTATTTGTAGAATACCACATTCCAGAGAATTGTCCGTTACGTGTAGTAGGTTTTCTATGTTATGATTTTCACATTGTACGTGATTTATAGAACATATAAACATACATGTATTGTACATTTGAAAAAATGTAAATTTTGAAAGGATAACTGCTCTGCTGTTACAGGGTACCTCAATAAACCGTCTTGTTTGGTATTCACTTAGTAATTTAATAAATTCCCATTGATTTTATATCTTCACACTTTTGCTTTATAGAGAGAGAGAACTGGATATTTTTTGTTTGTCTATGACTTGGAACATAAGAATGCATGATCCACAGGGTTGGTTAATTCCACTTTCAATTGCACTAGTTTTGTCCAAGTCTTTGAATTTGACTAGCATGAGAATACATCATTACAAAAAGGATATAATTGTCTGAGAGAATTAGATAATTTGTTACATTATTTCTGTGTCTTTCTTCAAAGTTATTTATTATTATTTTTTTTTTTCCCCCTTGAAATCGTGCTTTGTGCAGAGATCAACCGCAGTTCCTAAAGCGAAGAAAATAGAACGTGTCACTCTTGAGGAATTCTTTAGTGCTGGGGAGAGTGATTCTGAGTTTAGTCCTGATTCAGAATCGGACTGGATGGAAACTCCCGTCAAGAAGAAGATATCTCGAGCCAAGGTATAGTAACACCCGCTTTAATGAACTTAATTGTCCCAGGTGTAGTATTGAAAAGATGAGGGAGAAGGTCCCCTATCTGGAAATACAAAGCTGGCAGGTGTGTCACATGTTCTGAATATGACTTGCTTTTTTCCTACAATTATTTATTGGATGTTCTACAGAAGTCAGAAGTCCAGCCAATTTTAGAAATGTAGGTCCTTCGTAGACCAAATGATCATACTCGGTTTCAAATATGTGTTTGTGTGTTGAAACAAACGGAGGTTTGTCTGAAACTCCTTTACAAAGACATTACAGATTTACCCCCATATCGACCTGAAAAAGTCCTAGCGTTCTTATTGTTTGCCTGATTTCATTCCTACTTTCATCAATCTTTTCTTTGATGATTCTGCTTTCCTTCAAAGCAACCTGCTCTCAAGGTTGGATTGAACTTTAATGGGTCCATCTTGGTTGTTCATGCTTGTTAGTTATCTGTTCTTAACAAATGTTACCGTCTTGTGTATCATTACAGACATGTAACTGCAAAATTAAGTGTCGCGGTACATGCGGCTGTAAGAGGAACGGTCGTTCCTGCAGCAAGGCCTGCAGGTGTGACCCGACAACCTGTGCGAACCGCAAAGGTCGCGATTCATATGATCCAGATGAGAGTGCAGAATCGGTGAGTAGCTTCAATTTTTATGCCTCCGCCACCGAAGGTGGTGCCGGAGGCATCATGTTTTCGGGTTGTCCGTCCGTACGTCCGTCCGTCCGTACGTCCGTCCGTCCGTCCCGTTTGACCGTTATCACAATATCTCAAGAACCATTTAAGATTTAAACTTAAGACTTGGGAATAGTATTTATCACCATAGGAAGACGATCTGATTAGATTTTGGAGTACGTAGGTCAAAGGTCACAGGTCACAGAGGTCAACTTATGAAATTCCTTGTATTGAGTTTGTTAGCGCGATATCTCAAGAACCATTTGAGATTTAAACTTCAAACTTAAGGATAGTATGTATCACCATAGGAAGACGATCTGATTAGATTTTGGAGCACGTATGTCAAAGGTCAAGGGTCACAGAGGTCAACTTATGAAATTCCATACATTGAGATTGTTATCATGATATCTCAAGAACCACTGGAGATTTAAACTTCAAACTTAGTGATAGTGTGTATCACTATAGGAAAACAATCTGATTACATTTTGGAGCACGTAGGTCAAAGGTCAAGGGTCATAGAGGTCAACATGAAATTCCATACATTGAGATTGTTATCATGATATCTCAAGAACCACTGGAGATGTAAAAACTTCAAACTTAAGGATAGTATGTATCACCATAGGAAGACGATTTGATTAGATTTTGGAGCACGTAGGTCAAAGGTCAAGGGTCACAGAGGTCAACTTATGAAATTCCATACATTGAGATTGTTATCATAATATCTCAAGAACCACTGGAGATTTAAACTTCAAACTTAATGATAGTGTGTATCACCATAGGAAGACAATCTGATTAGATTTTGGAGCACGTAGGTCAAAGGTCAAAGGCCACAGCGCACATTATGAATGCAAAAACAGCTTGTGATCGCGTTATCTCAAGAACCGATTGATGGATTCATGCCAAAATTAGGTCATGTTTGTTACTCGCAGAGCCAATGAACTGAGTAGATTCTTGGTTCATAAGGTCAAAGGTCAAAGGTCATGGGCCCATTATGTATGCAAAAATAGCTTGTGAACGCATACTCATTAGAACTGACAGATGGATTACTATTTAACTCAGAACATCTTGCAGAGCCAATGAACTGAGTAGATTTTATGGTCATGAGGTCAAAGATCAAAGGGTCATATATGTATATGAGAAATTGCTTGTAATCACAATATTCTGAGAACCTGTCAATGGATTACCATTGAACGTGAATTCAATTTTTTTTTTCTGTTTTGGTTTGTAAAATTGCTCTATAACGGAGGCATCATTTTCGACTGCGCGCAGTCGAATTCCATCTAGTTTTCTTTCTATTAAAATGAGTAATGACAATAATTAAAACATTGATAGTTAAAGGTAAAGACCAGTATTGGAAACGCCCCAATTTCAAAAAATGAAATGGAAGCTCTTATTACCAATCATGTGAAAGAATATGTTTTGAATATACATGATGATAAAAATTTTGATGGGAAACCGCCTACTAATTGATATATTTGGTAAATTAGTGTATCTCTTGCCTGTTGAGAGATATGAAATACATGTGTCGCGCACGTGTGTGTAGTCCCATATTCATCTTTCTGTGTACAGTGCTTCTAACTTTATGAAGACTTGGCCAAATTTCTTATCATTTTGATGATTCCAGAACCTTGCAGTACATCTATGACGCTAACTTTTGACATAAGTATTTAACAGCTAGTACAAAGTTTTAGTGTAAGAAAATTCACGGACATTTATTCTACTCCCTTGTTTTACAGACTTCCACCAACATCACCAGCGTAGAAAACACAGACATGATGAACACCACTGTCGTCATAGAAAACAGCGCATCGGAAGCAGACGCAGACACTCCTGGCCTCCGGGACTTCAAGCTGCCAAGCAAGCCCCACCCCCGCAAGGTCCTGGCCCCTGCCAACGGCTCAGTGGATGCTGGCAAAACCGTCAAACCGAAGTTAAAGCGGGAGAATGCCTTTGGAGGGGCTTCCCGCAAGCGATCGTCCGATGCCCTGAAGCCGAAGGGCGATGTCGCCGGGATCAAGGGGTCATTGACCAACGTGGAGAATGAGGGGATCGTGAAGCGAAAGAGGAAACTGCTGGGTCCCAGTAACCGCAGCTTCTTCAAACCTCTGGATGTCTGATTGAGCTGATAAAAATCACTAAAAAGTATAAGAGACAATTCTTTGGTGAGAGGGGCATTTTTCCTATCAGGAGCATATTTTGGGAAAGTAAAGTGAATGCTTGAAGAGGAGTTGTAGATGCTTCTGTATTTCAAAGCATTGGAAAGCTAGCTGAGACTTGTTGTGATTGTATTTGTTTTGTATTGTGTGTGAAATTGACTAAAGAGATACAACATGAATTAATGGTGAAACATTGATGTAACTGTGGCCTATTCTGCATTGCTTCTGAAGAAAGCAAGCGAACAAAATAAATGTATTATCAAGTGCAAAAGAAATGATGAATTAATGCATTCTATATTAGAATTGTCGCTTTCAGTGAGCATTTTGTACATGTATGGTGAAACATTGATGTAACTGTGGCCTTTTCTGCATTGCTTCTGAAGAAAGCAAGTGAACGAAATAAATGTATGATCAAGTGCAAAAGAAATGATGAATTAATGCATTTTATATTAGAATTGTCGCTTTTAGTGAGCATTTTGTACATGTACCAGTTCTTTCAAGCAAACTATCAATGAACAAGTTGTATTGACTGTGCTTTGGAAAGCATTCCTGCTGTATGTATACATTGATAGCTTGGGCAATAGAACATCTAAGCATCTCACGACAATCATGGGAAGTTCTTTCAATACAGTGTTTTTGAAGAACATAAGGTAAAGTGTTGGCTGCTTCGAATTCTGCCAAGGCCCGATTCTTAGTGCAATTAAACCTTTAATATTTGTCCGGATTTATAAATTCTTCCAAGAAATTAAAATCACAGAATTTTCAGATAAAGTGTAGCAAGAAGCAATGGAAATATTAGGAAAGCTTGTTCATATGAAGTACTGCTGAAATTACATTTATATCCCAGAAAGTACAAGTATGCTGGTAGTCGGGATCTGTAAAAGCTCAATTCTGAACTGTGGAAAAAAAATCCCACCTTAATCATGATCGCTAGTTGTTTCTTTCAATTGTGCATTTCTTAGATGAAGTAGAGAACATTTGAAGAATTAATGTAAGATGATGTGTGTATCATTTTTTTTCTTCTCTCTATTGCCATTGTTATTTTCTAGCTGTTGATGTATTTTTGCAAAAATGTGTATATTTCTTTATCAGATATTCTCTTTGAATTAATAATGAATACATATTGCCCTAGTCTCCTAGGGTTTTATTGACTTGTAAATATAGTACATGTGTATAGTAATTTTGTAAATACAATGTCTGCCCATTGCCCTCAAGAAGATCTGTCTGTGGTCAATTTGAGAAAGAAAATAGTGCATTTAGGTTAGGTATAACAGATTGGAAATTTAAAATCTTTCTCATTGAAGTTCTGAAAAGTGCAAGAACGAATAGTAAAATTGAAATTGCAATCTCTTTCAAGCTTTGAGTAATGGAAAAGGTTATGAAACTTTGTCATATTCAGAACTGATTAGCCATTCTCTCTGTGCATACAATTTGCTACTCCCTGCCATTTTTATTTTTATTGTCATATTCTTAATGGAAAAGTTTCACAATACTCTCCCATCATTTTCTTTCCTCAAACCTTGCCATATTATTTTATAGTGTGGGATAGGTTTCATACTTGTTCAATATCCTGCACTTCTTGTTTTCTAGCTCTCTTCTTTTGAAAACTTATTGACACAACTTCACAATTTTCTAAGCTGCAAGAGAATCTGCTGTCAGACTCAATGCCTTCAGGTTTTTTTTCTTTGAAAGAAGGTAGCATTTTTTTCCCACTACAGTTTTCAGCACTGCTCCAAATCCTAATATATGAGCTGCAAATGTACTATTTTGAGATGTAAGATTTGCTGTGGATTTCTCTTCAGATTCTTGATCCAGATAGCTAGCCATCTCTGCTCATTAAATAATTCAGATATTAATTGCCTATTGCTGCATGAAGGTTTCGTGTACGCATATTAAGTGTTTTAATCTGCATAGTTACTTTGCCATGTACCGGTATGTATAATCTTTGAAACATGTGTGGACATGTGACGATTATCTGTGGTTTACTGTATCAAATTTAGCAGCAAAATCACCTGGCATGTCACTGAGGAATTATACATGTTCCTATATGATTTTCTACAATCTCAAAGCAAGTACCTTCAATGTTGTTGCAATTAACCTGTAAGAAAACTCTTTTTATTACCTTAAAGTATCTTTCAAAATGCCTTTTCACATTTTGTACATAGTGCACCGTTACTGTACTGCCAGTACCGGTATATATTTGGTGATTTGATGATTTGATAATGAAATAAAATTGTAAATTTCATACTGATGAAACAACCTTGAATCATATGTGTTTTGATATTCAAAAGGATTTATTTGACAATATAACAAACTTTACCATTAATGTAGTACTACATAAATTTTAGTACATTCACACATGGCGGTTGAGAGCCAGAAAGTCATAAATTATATGCAACAGAACCAGTGTATGAGTTAACACCCTTCTGGCTCTCTAAAGATGAAATAGAACTCAACAAAATATATTTTGATTTACATGAGATGCATTGATAGACAAAATATGATTACTGAACTATATATTACAATAATTAAACTAAAGCTATAAGAACAATTAATCACACTTAATTAAGTCATTGAATAAACTGCTCAGATCTAGATAAGTGCTTCTAAACAATAATAAAAATTAAAGCAAATGACTGATTCACCTTTCATTTTGCTTTGTTTGTTATGGCACTTTATCACAAAAACAAAAAATAATCACCTACAAATTATGTATTTTCTTTCACCTTTACACTCCCCCGCCATATATACATATATAACAAGTGTTTCATATAGCTACAAAATAATATATCATGCAGACCTATAACACATTCTACTATTCCAATGACATGTACTATACTCCTGACTATACAAATAAAATAGTGACATATTGTACTTGATATATATGTCTGTACGTCACAGTGATATTCAAAATAGATTCTTGACTGCAGCCAGCGGTATTGCACATCCAAACTTCACACCCAATGTGGTAGGAGATATACACAGAACATCCAAAATGGGTGTATTTGACTGGAATCTCCCATTACTTACATGTATATACATTCAATAAGCGCCACGTGGGATTTCATAATTATCTCTTGTGATAATCAACAACTGCTACTAGTAGGGGCGGATTCAAGATTTTGTAAAAGAAGGAAGGGGCACAACAATCCTTGAAATAAATTTTCTGACAAGCAAACTGGCAAACACTCAAAAAAAAATAATTTAATGTCAGAGTTGTGTACTAGAGATATGACACTAGGTTGATGCCCCCCCCACCCAAAATCCGCTGTTTAATGTTAGGATTTTTCTTAAATACACACATGTACTCTTTTCTTTTGCTACCTGCCTACTGACAAAAAATAAGTGCAATAAGCTGATAGTTCTGAGCACAACTTTCTAGTCGTCGTGATTATTTTGTTTTACATTTATCCGATCTTACTATTGTTCCACCAATCAATTTTTTGAACCATGCAAAAAGTATAACTAACATCTACATAGAATAATCATTAGTACTAATGTCTTATGGAGCTCTCACACTCTGCCGTGTAGGCCTACCGTCCACCTGCCGGGCTATTAAAAAACAACAGAGTCCAGAACGTTGGGTTTTGAGCAAACTTGTCCCCGGCCGCAAAAAAAAATTCATAAAATTAATCTTTTCACCGTTTCGTTGCCATCTTCTGGCCGTTTCCATACCGGGCCCATACCGGGTCTCGAACGTGTGCACCGGGTTTGTAGCAGCCACCTACCAGTCACTTAGCGTCCCCTCACCGCTCGGAGCGTCCTGTGAGCGAGTCCCCGGACTGCTGACGTCATGACAAGAAAAAGTAAAGCTCATCTGACGAAACCCCTCTATATATACCCAATAATTAGTGACAAACGGTGGCACACGGTGACAAAAGTAAATTTGTTGGTTATGGCACGTTCATATGACGCTACTGTGTAGGTAAGGACACGTTATGGACCCGTTATAGGACGTTATGGGAACGTCAAGGCGTTAACAGGATGTTACCCATGCGTTAGGGAGGCGGCGCCGTCAGAATCAGGCGGTACCGCTTTGGAAACACCCGTTGGCAGTCCGGTATGAACACTGTCATGAGGACGGTATGAATACGTTATGAAGACGTTGGCACGATATCAACACGTTCATGACACGTTCACAACCCGCTTACATCCCGTTGCAGACGGTGGATTTTTTTTTTGCCCGTTCATCACCGTTCTGTAACGGGTTATAAGCGTGTTGTGAACGTGTTCATACAGTGTGACCGTTTTCATAACGTATTCATACCGTCCTCATACCGTTCAACACCGTCCTCTTGCCGCTTACTTGCGGCCGGTGCCAGCCGGCCAAAGCTTTGAACAAGCCCAAAACTTTCGCCGGGTCCCACCGGGTGTAAATAAGCGCCAACGCCCTATTAACGTGTTGCCCGCTTTGATAATGAACCACCGTGTGCCCTCGCCGTTCTCCACCGTCCGCAGACATTTTCGCGCACGGTGGCACACGGTAGGCCTACACGGCAGAGTGTGAGATTCACTTTAGCTATCTGTTTGGAATCGCCCAATAATTCCAAGTAACAGAATCTACATGTAATTTAAGTAGCAGAATCTGCTAACATTAGTTTCAGTGATACCACAAAAATGTCATGAGCAAAACCCTGTCTATACTTAACACATAATATGTTAATAAATAAATGTAACAAAATAATTTTTAAGTAGAGTATTTTTCATTTAGTACTGAATACCGTACCTTTCATTTTTAGTATAAGTCATAAGAGAATCGTACGCAGTAAAGAAGCCAAGCAAAAATCATGAGAAATTGTTTTCAAAATAACTGTAAACAATTAAACCTTAAGCTAAAACTTGTGCATTTGCTATTCATTGTTTTCGTCTTTTCAATTTTTTCTTTGAAAGCTGAGATATCTACTGGCTTCCTATTACAAATTTCTTTCTCAATTGCTGATGCTGGATTACTACAGTATTCTATGCTCCTACTTGAAAGAAAGAAAAAGAGTCATTGAAATCATCTTCTTTCAAAATTTATAAATACAAGTACTTCCAAATGATTAGATACTCTTGAGTATACTCAAATGAGGTTCAGAGACACCAACAAATAGTTGGATTTTAAAATTCCAGCACTAAAATCACTATCTTTTTTAACATTTAAATAACGAACAGTGAGATTGAAATTGAGATTGGACATCTTTCAATATGCTCTTAATATATGAACATATTTCTTATTGTTAACACATAATACATGTACATGTACGTATGTTGTGTAAAAATAGTAATCATAATCATAAAAATAATGATTTATTCAACTAGGGTACCCTCAATATTGGTAGTGCTCTTCCCAAGGGCCCTTGAGCTATGCAGGTGCCTTTAAGTGGCAGATACTACACTCAAACAGTAACATGATATAAATATGCCAGCAAATTTGATTCTCTGGTACTTGTACATTTCTCGAGTTTCTGCAGGTATAATTTCTATAATAGTTTTATGGCACAAAATTCTATTCATGTACCATTTCAAAATACTGTTGTTCTTGGAGAAAAAAATTAATAAAAAGCCTGAAGTTTGTGCAATATATATGCAATTTTCACAATAGAGTGAAAAATGGCCCTGATAACCAATTCATGACAAATCTACAGTACTAATTATACTGCCCAGCCTCAGGTGCAATGCCCAATGTAGACGATATATTCATATGGAGGGAAGTGTCATGGCATGAGAATTTACAAAGAATTATTCAGCAATTTGATAGTCTTTTACAATTAAATATATACATAATTAATTGTCACACCAGTTAAAGGTCAAGATTGAGTTCTGGGAATGTTGAATACATTAAAACAAGACTAAATGAATGTACACAATATTTTCACGCTATGTCCAGATTTTAAATAGATCTTGAGTGAATAAATAATTTTAAATCTTGTTCTGTCATTTGAAGTGTATGCTCAGCCAGGTCACTCAAAGATTCTGAAATCACAGGTGTAACTATGCTTAATCCACATTGTTTTGAGGCATACCAAATAAAACACAAACAGGAATTCTTTCACATGAAACAAACAATTTTATAGAATGCTGATCATCAATTTCTCCCTCTTACCAGAACTCAAATTCTCTTTAATTCTCAGCTGAACCAGTAATGTATAATCATAATCAAATTATCCTAAAAAAATGATTTATTTAGAAGGATACTGAAATATTTACTTACATATAATGTAATTAAGAGTACTTAATCAGACTAGACGATGTTCTGTATACTGCATACTGTATTCCAATGACCATGTCTTTCTCCGAATGCTCTGCACAAATGCTACCAAGAACGTCCTCATGCCTGGTTTCAGGACTATGCTAACAGGCAACTCTTTGGACACGATGATGTTCTGCGACTTAGCATTGATCTCCACTAAGTATAGCCTATCCCTGCACTCGCAGGACGCTTCTAACACAACACCGTTCGGCGTGCGCCTCTCGTAAAGATACAGGCACGATGTCACTTCTTTCACGGTTGAAGTGTACGCGCTGAAAAATGACGAGATCTCGTGCCATTTTGGGGTAGAGCCGTACTCGGTGGCCTTCTTTGCAGCAGCATCCAATCTGGCAAGGGAGCAGACACAGAGTTTGGTGGCTACGCCCTTGTCTGCACACGCGCCATACTGACTGTAGGCGGTGAGGCGGTCGTAGCTGATGAGACGGAGCTGTTCTCGCGGCTGAGTGTTGGTGGAAGCCATGAGAGTGACGAAGAAGATCTCCTCGGTTTGGGACGCATTCTTCCCAGCTTTTACATGAAGATCCAACTTGATGACTATTGTATCGTCCTGTTGAAAATAACAGGAAGAGGTACATGAAAATGTTGACTATTTACTCTCATCCAATAGGCTTTATATATATATATATAAACCACCCCATTTCCTCTTGACAATGGGTAAAAAACAACCATACATGTATGTGAGAAACAAATTGGATATCCAAGTAGAAGTATTAGTATATATCAGGGTCTAACAAGTAAAATTATTTGGGATATAAAAGGAAAGAATTTGAAAGAAAATACATACAGCTTCAAGTATTTTAAAGACATTCAAAGTACCTACATGTACATATTCTGCAACTTTTATGTTACAGTATAGTATTAATGACTGCTTTGAGGAGAAATAGTTGTTTTTATACGCTCAAGGGAAGGTTAGAATTGTGCTATTGCCCGAGGCGTGCCGAGGGCAATAGCCCAATTGTAACCTTCCCGAGAGCGTATAAAAACAACAATTTCTTGAATATTAAAGCAGTCATTAAAACTTTTATATGCAAAAAAAAAAAAAAAAAAAAAAAAAAAAAAAAAAAACTTTTGTCGAAGATGGGATTCGATCTCTTGCGTACAGAAGGTGATGTAACTAAAATCACCGCCTTAAACCGCTCGGCCATCGCGCTCTGTTACCTTACCGAGCAGTTTTCTGTAATATATACATTAAAATGGATTGAAAACGGCTTCGCGTGGTGGATGCTTCGCGGCTGCTCCATTAAACAGGCCCTTCTTTTACTTTTGCAATGCATATTGGCACGAACTTAGATCAAGATCTATCAGCAGATGTTGTTTTTTTGTTTTTGGAAGTTTATTTTTGTCTTCATGTCAACAATGCAAGATAAAAATTGTCGGTAAGATCGAGATTCAATTGTATTGAAATTACAGACCAATTCTTCGCACACGTACGGTATCCTCGATCGCTCAGACCATTTTTTAACATGTAAACCTATGGGGTAACCATGGAGACTGAACTATTTTCCCGGTAACCATGGTTACTGGGATTTTAGAACTGTTTTAACCATGGTTACTGGGAATTTTACAGAAATAGTTAAACTTTATGAATGCAATTTCGACCAATCAGATGGCTGGATTTCTTAAGTGAGGTATATAATAATCATAACTATTTATTTTTCAGTTGGTATAAAGAAAGAATGAGAAAAATGATCCTCTTCTCCCACTGGGTTGGTCTTCTTTAAAAATATAGAAATATTTTACATTTTGTATTTGTCTGTAGGAAATGAATCAATAGTGTAAGTCATGCCCAATTACCAAGGTGTCCTTAAAATCTCAATATGAGCATATTACTGAATATACAAAATGAGTATTTTGATGTTTTTTTTTTTACTTCTTCTGTGTGTATGAATTGAAAACAAACAAATTCATATCAAGTCCCCCAAAATAGATAATTCAAAATAAATCTTCCCAACTATTCATCACAACAGAATTGATTGCCATAACCTCTTGAGAAAGTAGACATCCCTACATTTGAGATACTCACCCCATGAAAGTTCTCGCGCACATTCGTAAACCTAAGAGCTTGGAGAGGCTGACATCTTCCAAACCCTCTCCTGGCTTCAGGGTGCGCCTCTACAAACTGGTTCTGGATTGCATTATTCAGCTCCCCGAGCGCAAACTCTGCAAAGATCACTCTACTGCTGTCATTGGAGACCCTGGAGTCATAATCCTCACAGATGCAGATGTTGGGTTGGATACGTGGGATGTGGTCACAGGTCCTGTTCATGGACACCTCTTGCAGAAGTCCAGTTGGGTTGATGTCAAAGTTTTGATGGGATTCTGCGACTTTGGTCTTGAGACCTGGGTACGCTAGCGACCTGAGCATGTAGTGTATGTCCAAGATGCTGGTCAGCCGATCTTGATTGACCTCGAGGGCGTGGACCTGAGACGGAGAGAGGAATCGTCCAGCATTCTTTGAGAGCATAATAAACATTGAGGGATGGAACATCTCGATACGCCCTTCCTCCGATTTATGAATGAATGACCCGTAAGCGTTGCCATGATCTGCGAGAAGGATGGTCATAGTGTTGTCTAATGATGCTGCGAATGTGAGATAATCAGCAAGAGCCGTGTCCAGCCCCTGGACTCTTGTGCCGAGATCATCGTGACCGACATTGATTTCTGTGTAGTGGAAGAATGGAGTCCTTGAAAATTGCTGAGCTTTCTGAAGACTCTTGAGGTACTGCAGCATGTAAGTATGCTGGTATTCTCCGTTGTAACAGATGGCAGGTGGACCATGGAAAGGATCATTATGGTTGTTTCTGTGCAAGATCTCACAGCTTGCTAAAGCTAAACCCAGCTGATCAACTCCTCCCTCCTTCATGGCATCTAGAAGTTTCTGCCAGCGGAAGCTCAGCATCTCTTTTGGTGAATGCACCACAAAGTTCTTGGCAATTCCCCACTCCCAAGTCCAACAGAGATCTTCCATCCACAACGTTTCATACCCCATGTGCTTAAACCCTTCCAGAAGTACCTTGGTACCTACAGGATCAGGGGGCATGTCATGTACTCCAAAGGGCTCCTCTGGGTTGTACATGACTCCAGAGAACAGCACTTGGATGTTCTCGTAGGTGCGACCCTTCACAGACTGCACCAAGTTGTAGTTGAAAACACTGCCTGCTTTTAACTTATTAATTTCTCTTAAAGTATGTACTGTTCTAGGAAGAGATCGATAGAAGTGGCTATGTGAAACTGAATCTAGTAGAATCACATTGATGTTCAACCCTGGGCTGCTACTCTGAGCTTTGCTATGAGATTTCTGTTGCTTAGATGGAAGCAATAGCAGCTGTTGCGCCCATGGTTCATCATCAACGTCCTCCTGGAAGTAGTCCTTCTCAAACGCCAGGAAACTGTTCTCCACACCATCCTCAAGCCCTTCTTCCTCATCCTCATCTACATCATCCTGTCCATACGCCTGAATATTCTCCCCACCTTGTCCACCCTCCTGGACCTCCTGTAGCTCCAAGGGACACTTGATGAAGCAAAAGCCAAAGACTGCCTCTGGTTTGCCTGTGAGGAGCAGGTGCTGGAGGTGGGCCTGGAGTTCCTTCATGTCACTCAGCTCCTCCCAGTGTAGGACACCGATGGCCGGGTTAATAGTTCCTAGGGATACTGGTCCTGGACAGATTTCTTGGTCACATTCAACAGCCATCTCTTTGCCTTCTCCCTGGGGAAACAAATGAAAGGACTCAGTTTCAATATACTTTAGAACTTGTCTATTAAGGCACCCAAGGGAAGCAGAAAAGGTGACCAGTGTAGATACAGTATAGAAAACAGTTTCTACAATACAATTTGTTTTCTGTGGGAAGACAATATAAATGAACATTACAGACAGACGGCCTTTAAATAGTAGTGATCGCTATAAAGAAAGTTCCGACTGCACAGAGAAAATTAACTCTAGTCAAGTTGGTGATGTTTTATATATCAGGTGATATGACCCGACATAGATAATTCCATATACAAATTGTTGTTATAAATAAAAGTACCCAATGATTTTTAAGATTATTAAGGTTATCAGTCAATAAATGTTGATTTTGTAATGTGACCAAGGACAGTGTATATAAAAGGAATTGCACAATCCACATCACTTCTCACCTTTATTTGACACAGTTGGTGTTTTTCCTGATGGCTACAAGTTTCCACTTTTTGTGAAGTGTACAGTTCGTGTGCCAGTTGGCATGACCCAGGTCGAGGCGAGATTCTCTTACATACCACATCTTGCGGTATAGTAGAGTTGCTATTGAATCTTGGAACTTCACACTCTGAAGAATGGCTCACAAATTTCTGTATAAAAAGAGACAACACAAAGGAATGAAAGGATTGGTAACAGGGAAATAATGAAGATATACCCATATTTTCACATTAACTTCATCAGTATTTTTCTGTTTTCAGAAGTAAGAAACACTTTCAAACTGATTTCTTGCAAATTTCCTACTGGGTAATTTGATATCAGTATGACCATCCCTAAGAGTTCTACAAACTAATGTTTTATTTATTAAGAATATTTAATACTTTCATTCATGATGACTTTTGTTTTAATAAAGAAAAGAAAAACTATGCCAATGATCAGTAAAGAAATGGGGCAGTGTTTTTTTTATTAAATTATGAAAAACATAAATTTTTCACATTTAAACAAATATTTCTTTTGGTACGATTTGGGGGCCAATGTGACCTTAAAATTGAGTCTTATTTTTTACAGACTTGGTATCAATAAATGAGCAATACTATAGAAAAGATACAATTCATGCAAAGTTGTGTCTCTTTATGCGGCAGTCTGAAGGTGCAGGGGACAACCAGTGATGCATAAACTCCAAAGCCAATATTAGCCAAGACCTTCAGAGTACAATGCTTTTAACAAACTCTTGTTATAACAATGCAATTTTCCCAGTAACACTTTTATTTTATTTTTTACCCTTGATATAACAAGGTTTCAATATAAAAAGATAACTGTTTTGGTCCCAAATTGTTGTAAGAACAAGGTTCCACTGCATAGAACCCGGCATACATTACCTCTTTGGGCAGGTACTCGCGCTCGATGAAGGCGCCGCTGTTGATGGTGTTGCTGTTCAGCCGTCCACTCTTGCCCGCCCCCGTCTTTTCCTCCACACTACTACTGCTCCAGATGCTCTGCAGAAGAAGCAGCACACTGGATACGGCCAGAAGGAAGATGCAACTCTTGAAGAGAAACGCCAGGGTGCAGCACTGACGTCTCAGGCGCACCATCTTGGAGTGATGGTACCACCAAGATGATGTCTCCATGAACAGTAGGACAATCCGGCCTTAGAGGGTACTATTATCGATTCACTCAGCTCAGTCCCATATGCATCTCACCTCCATACTGCTGTAGGATTAATACAGATTGACATTAGTATCAAACAACCATATCCAAAGAGTGTCATAAATCATATAACTCCCCTTTTCATCTCGTCTTCCTCTTTACTTTGACCTTGGCCTTATTTGTTTGCTTTTTTCCTTTCATATTTTGTCTAGACCCTTTACTCTTGTCATTTATCTTCTACCTTCATCTTCTCTTTTCAACTCATTTTGTTTTAGACCTAGAGATCTATTTTCCTTTCATTATGTCTAGCCGTTCTATTTATAACTTTGTCTTTAAATCAAACATGTTTATAAATCATTAAATGTCCTCATTATGTTCTCTCTTGCTTCAAGCCTTCATTTAAATTATTCTATCCTTTGATTAGAGTTAGATTAGAGTTAGACTAGACTAGTTCGGTTTTCACTTAGTTTTTTTTTCTTCATTCTTTCGTCCATCTTCTCTTTCTACAATATTTACCCGGCAAACCCTATATTTTGCAACCTTTGCTTTTGTTACGCCGTTCTTCTAATTCCTGCCAAACCCATCCTGCCCCGGTACTCCCCCTACTCCCTAAGTCGTAGCGAAAGCGGTGGCCAGGCAGAAGGCTGGGGTCAAAGCTGCAAAAGAATGCGGACCTTACATGAAATTCAGTATGTGGGAATTGGGATGTACGCACCGACTCACACAGAATCACACGCCACTCTCTCACTTCCTTAACTTGTAACATAATGGCTACACTGGTGATCACAGAAATTGGTTATGCAACTGAATACAACCTATATAGGCGCCTATGTATTAATAAGAAAGATAATTACGCTCGCAAGTCAATGAAGACAGAAGATGAATTCGTTAATCTTGAGGAGTTGAGTGCATTGCGACCAACGAACTCAAACCAAGTGGATTTCAATGATTGCGACTAATAAGCCTCCGGCCGGCGCGTTTCCGTTTTACACCCTGCCCTAGGCTTTTCGGCAAGAAATTACACGAAACATGCTGTATCCGAAGTCTAAGTTTGTTTATATCGACGTCAAGAATAGCGAAGCCAAAGCTTATACAATTTCAATTGGGGATGCGAGGGTCTTCTTGTTCAAGACGGTTTTCCCGATATATTATTGTTTTGTTATCGCTGGGCTAAATTTTGCGAGCTGATCACGCATCCTCACGCTCTTAGAGTATTGCGTATTAATGGATAAAAATAAATGATACGACTAGGAAGATCAACTAGTTAGTATAGAGAGTTAGCTAGCGCTACGTGACGTTTTCAGAGTTCTGGTGGTGTGCAGAGCGCCGAGGCAAGATGTGGACGACTAGACTCCGAATACCAGTCGGTTTGTAAAATTTTATTGGAGAAAAGCCTAGGGCAGGGTGTAAAACGGAAACGCGCCTCCGGCCGACTAATAAGGAGAAAGCTAGCCACCAATACGGGAGCCTTATAGTGTCTCCGAATCGTCCAATCGGAAATGAAAAAGAAAACTGTGCACGTCTCGGCTGAGGGTAAAAGGCAAGAGGAGTAAGATATAGATTGTTATGTTTTTAAAAACTATCGTATGACCTGGGGCGTCACTAACGAAAGGAAGGGGGTTGGGAGGGTCGGTGTGTAACACTCTACCTATCAGGACATTGTCGGGAAAAATAAGAAAAGGGGGAGGGAAAAATGAGAGGGAAAGGGAAAGAAAAAAAAAGAAAAAAAAAAGAGGAAGGAGAGGAAAAATTGGAAAAGAAAAGAAAGGAAACGACAGAATATGATACTGTAGCAGAATTTTATGATTTTCAGGTGAATATCAAACAGACAAGAATCTCACATAATAGCAAACATGGTGTAGTAAAATGTATTCCTTCCGCGTCCCAAGTTGTTTTGGGGACACTGACTAAAAACTGATGAATGTATCATGTTTCGTTGTATGTGCAGTTTACCATTCCATCTGCTTTCTGCTTTGAATTCAAAAGCTTGAATAAGCAATTTTTTAGTATTACAGTATTAATCTAAAAGCTAAAGCGTGTAACTAATGTATGTAGAAAGAAACATGAACATGAATGTTGTGCATTTTCAGGGAAGACAGTTTTAAAGAGATTTAAAGTTATGAATTTCATAAAAACATGCATTAGGTCTATATTCTCTAAGTTCAGCAGATATTTACGTGGTGATATTTGTACAATGGTGGTATTTAATGTATCAAATTGACAGTAACCAATCAAGTAACGAGTAACAATATGAAAATAATTCACTGGTAACAATATTTTGCTTTTCAATTCAGTAAATAATAAAAACACACTGGGTCTCTGCCTGCCCAAACCCATGGACGAATTACTGTTATAGTTGTTGATTGATTAAAAAGACTGTTGATTAGCTTGATTTCAGAATGACATATCTATAGTTGGATAATCTTTGGATAATTACAAAAATGTTGATCATGAGCTCTATTAATATCTTCGAAACAGATCATAAAAATACAATAATATTGTGATAAATTTTGCAGGAAATAAATAACCAAAATCATGCAATAGCTTATTTGAATGAGAAAAAACATCCGTGTGATCTTGTATTATTTACCTCATTGGCGCGTGATTGTTTACCTGCAGGAAATTGTTTCCCCAGTAACCCCCACATCCCGGCCACCCCCACCCCCCCCCCCCACTCAGTGTTATTTAGGTTACGCGTATGCATGTTCCCTCCCTGCTGGCCCCATATATATATATATACACACATACATAGGCGACGGGCCCGGCCCCCTGGATTTTTAAATTTTTTTAAGTTAGTGTTCACACGCCCCCCCCCCCCCTACTGAGCGAAACTAATGGTCTGTGCGATTTGCAAATTTATATATATATATATATATATATATTTTTTTTTGGGGGGGGGGGGGGGATTTTCCCCTGTTTCCCCTATTATTGACGCCCATGCATTGAAGTAAGTTGAAATCCCAATAATCCTTAACACCCGAAGACACTGTAAACTACACAAAAGGAATAACTGCTATATTCAAAAAGCATCAAATCAAATCAAATCATTTATTTTTCAATAAAAAAACAAATTACAATTATTGCTTCTCCACAATTCATTTCAGTCATGTTGTAATAGAGGTCGAATTATGCATAGGCCTACAAATAACTCCTTTTATGTATATAAAAAAAATGCAAAAACATATAATATAAAACTTAATTTAAACATATAACAGCAGATAATTTAAGAAAAGATAGATAGAAATATATAATTTAAACTAAAATATGTGTGATTCATTAGTTCAAGACGAAGTCGTTTACTCTGCGTTTGAATTGTCTTACTTTCCCCCTATTCTTATGGTTAACGGAACATGAGAGTAACTATACAAAACAAAAATCAACCAAAGTCAATTACAGTAGTTATGTCCGTCACCTATAATGACATGATTGAAATGTGCATATTACTTAATCCGAAAATGATTTTTTTTTAAAGGGATGTATCGAAATTGGCCTTGGGTTGATTTACAGGTTATTCCATAAATCAGAGTTTATCATTTTTATACATCTAAACACAAGAATAATTATTTCATACTTTTGATGTGCGACCATTAATTTGAAGGGAAATTGTTTGATGACATTGTGAAAATGTTCCATGTCAGACACCAAATGCCTACTGATGCACCAGGGCCAGTACTATGAATTACTTAAGTTATGTATATAGCCAATGCCACTTACCTTGCAGCTATAATTATAGCTCAGTTAGGTTTTGTAAAGGCCCAGTTATAAATGAAAATCCACCATCCAAGGAAAGCGTAAGCATGATTAGATATATATCAAGTTTAAATCTCAAATAAATTTCAGTCCACAACATTGATGGTGAAGACAATTATACATTTCAAGTGATATCACAGTAAAAAGTAACTGAATTGCACATGAGTAAATTGCTGGAAAAAAGCAAGTATACATTTCAAGATGTCACACTACAATCTACATAATCATGAAGAGCGTGTATATACTATATACCATTAATCTTATACAATATTTAAATTTAAAAATTTGAGTTAAAAAGAAAGAGAGATGGGAAAGCAGGAGAGAGAGAAAGAAAGAGAGAAAGAGAGAAAGAGAGAAAGAGAAAGAGAAAGAGAGAGAGAGAGAGAGAGAGGGGGGAGAAAGGGGACAGATGGACAGAGAGGGAAAACAATTATGTACATGTTGATAAAATACAAAGATACATTGCAAGACAAATATGAATATTATAAGGTGAACATTAGAGATATTAAGATATAAATATAGATATGCATCGCATTCTTCATGTCATAAAAAATACATTGACTAACTTGACTAAAAAAGTCATACCTCAAATTTATGAATTAATTATATACTAAGGAATATGAAATTGTAATTTGTTTCAGAGTATATTAAATACAATCATAAAAAACTTTTGTTATACAAACGGATCAAATCTGGGATTGGGCTATTCTGCATACGTTTAGTTTTGCACCTGGGTTCAGGGATCTTGTTAGTTCTTCGCAAAGTTCTATTGTGTGCTCTTTGGGGTATAAATTGTTTGAACTGGTCTGTGCATGAAAGAGTTTTTTTAAAGAAGGTAACACATAAGTCATTTCGACGACTTTCCAATGTTTGTAATTTCGATTTAGTAAGAGCGTTTGCGTAACTATGATAATCCTTTCCAAAGATAATCCTCAATGCACGTTTTTGTAATCTTTCTATGCGTTGTTTTTGTGCACTAGTGAGACCTCCGCTCCAAACTTGAGTAGCATATTCAAGGATTGGGCGAATATAGCCAATAAAAATAGTAATCAGATCTTCATGTGAAAGACCGAACTTCCCCAAAGAACGGAGCATATATAGTTTCGCATTCGCTCTTTTTTCAATATCTCTGACATGGGCTTCCCACTTCAAGTCGTTTTGTATCGTGACACCAAGTAATTTCACCTGTGAAACAGTTACAAGAACACAATTTTCGAGAATAATGGAAGACTGATTGACTGGTACTCTTGAAAAACAAATGTCCATTTTAATACACTTTGTAGGATTCAAATGCATTTTATTAATATCAGCCCACAAAGATAGACATTCTACAGCTTCTTGCATGTTTGAAATTTGGTTTGTTTTACGACACTCAACTAGGGTTAGATCATCGACATACTTCGTACCCTGGGGCACACCTGCATTTATTTGACACCATTCTGAGAGATCGCTGTGATAGCGAACTCTTTGTTTACGTTCAGAAAGAAAATCAGATATCCAGTAAACTACCGCTGGTCGTACACCGATTTCAATTAACTTTTTGATGGCAACTGTATGATCTATTCTATCAAACGCTTTTTGAAAATCTGTGAGAAGTATCGTCGATGACGTTTTTGGTACCTCAGCATTTAAAAAAACATAATGAAGAATATTAATCAAACAGTGTGAGGTCGATAAACATTTCTGGTTTCCAAACTGACAGGGGTCAATATGTTGGGCAATGTCCTGATACATCCACTTTGCGATGAAACCTTCAATGACTTTAGCAAAGTGGTCTGTTAATGATATAGGTCTGAGTTTGTCAATTCGTGCAGGATTCACCTTTGGGATCGGTACTACAATAGCACATTTCCAGAAGGCCGGAACTTTTCCTTGACTAAAAGAAGCATTAATTATATAGGTTAAAGGTCCCGAGAATTCAACAGAAAAAAGACGGATTAGGCGTGCTGAAATATTATCTGGGCCATTCGCCGTCGAGCATTTGATTTTAGAAAGAATTTTATTAACCTGCCAAGGATATACCTCGGGTAAACTTCTAGAAGGTAAGTATGCAGGTAAAAAGCTGCTAAATTTAGTGGTTGTAAATCAGAAGAGACAGATATGAGATGTTCGTTTATTGCATTCTCAATTTTATCTCTCTCACTAGGATCAACACCATCAACTGGGAT